TCAATGCTTGATGATCCTCTTAGTAAGGAAATACTTCCTCATGTCCAGTCTAAGCCTCTCCTGGTAAGCTTTGAACCATTTCCATATGTCCTATCAGTAAAGCCCAGGGAGAAGAGCTCAGCACCTCCTTCTCTACTTCCCCTTCTCAGCAATCCGTAGAGAGCAAAGGGGTTACACCTCAGCCTCCTTTTCTCCAAACCAGACAAGCCCCAAAACCTCAGCCACTCCTCTTAAGATGTGCCTTCCAGCCTTGTTCCCAGTTTTGTTGCCCTCCTTCYAAGGCTCTTTATTACATCTTAAACATCAATGTGACATTAATGTGAAAGTTGAACAATTGGTTAACATGTCCACCTACCAATACAAGAAAATTCTCTACACTGAGAAGGGAAGTGAATATTCTCGCAAACTGAAATCAGTGCTAGACATATACAGGAACTTTCTAKAAGCGAAGTATTAGGCACACATTTCCAGTGCATGCTGTTGTCTCATTTCATTTCTTTGCACAGTGATACTCCCAGAGCAGAGGAGAAACAATCAAAACACACATCAGTTTTAGCTAGTCAACTTTGAAGGTCAGAATACAAGAGACAAAGATGTAAAACACTATTTTAGACTCCAATAAAAACTTCAAATAAATCTGAAATCCCACAAAGTAAGAAGGAGAAAAGAAAATTCCATTTTGATTACCAGAACCACATCTTAAGGCAACAAATGCAGCTAAGAAAACACTGTATTTCTTCATAAGGTGGTCACAGATAATTTTTAAGGATTTAGACACAGGAAACCTCTCAAAATACTGCTATATTCTAAAGCAGTGCCAGCTTCTCATGCATTAGAGCATTCAGAGACTAGATTTTCATTACACTCATTTAGACACTATTTTTGTTAATAGAATACCTGAACTTCAAAATAAACAGTAAAAATACKTTAAGAGGTTAAGTTAGCATAGCAAGGCATGCTTGCTCCCTAASCATAAGACATTTATTGTAAAGTGAAAAAGGAAGGATTTATTTCACTTTTTTTCACACAGGTAAACAAAGTTCACAGCAACTTTTAGTGGTCATTAATCAAGACTGGGAGATCTTAGAGCTAAACTAACACCGTGACTCTCAGTTCAGCAGCTTAGTCACAGAGTTGCCATCTGTGCTTATCAGGACATCRCAGCTGGTAGCTCTAAATATCCTCACAGGATGGGATGGCTAAGAGAAGACTTAGGATCTCCAAACTCTTCTGAATACAGTTTTTAGAAGCTCAACATCACAAAAAAGATTTTACAAAGTCTAACACTGTAACCCCTGAGGGGGAAGAAAAAAAGGAGGGAGGACCTTTTTATTCTTCTCCTGAGCTTATCTACTGACTTACACAGTAACAGAGAGKGGAGAGATGCTTCTGTTGGTCTCGAAAAAGCTTCCCACAGGCTGTTTTGATGGCAAGTATAACACAAAATAAAATTACAAATGACTTTGCATTTCCATAGCAAAGATATAAATCCATTCCTATTGTGATTTCTCTCACAACCTCAAGGCTAAACACACTCTAACAGATAGAAACATCCAGTTCTCCTGTTACTGGTGGCCCAATTATTAATGYAACTTTTTACCAGAGACAGGTTTACTTGGTTAATATTCCTGTAAGAACTTACAAAATTTGCACATTGAAATTTTCAAAAGTTAGCAAGAAAATACACATGGGCACAAATGTACAAGAACTGATTTTACAAAATAACATTACCATTTATTATGGCATTAGGTTAGTGGTACTTCTCATTTCTCCTATGGGAATCAGTACCAACTCTCCCTAAAACTAGGCAAAGATGTTTGGAATGCAGCAGTGATTTTACACCTGGGCAYGTACTCACATTTTACTGTAACTGTGCTAACACTCAACAAAACCCAAATGCCAGGATGGCAATAACAAGAGAAAGCTCATGTCAAAGCAACACCCCACTACAATAAGAGACATTTTAGCATGTTTCAAACACTTCTTTTAAGAATTACACATTGCAGTGCCAACATCTACAGACRATTTCTCTAAGTCTTGTATCCATTCTTACAGCAAGTTCTGTCAAATCCATTTAATGCCTGTATTTTTATTAATCTAGGGCTGCTTTTTATGCCATGAGGCACTCAGATGACATATAGTGCTAAAGATTTGGAACAAATGAAAGCACACATGGGCAAACATCCTGCATTTACCTTTCA